TCATAATAATCCAGATTTATACCAAATGTATTCTTAAGTATTGCTGAATTGAGAGAGTACTCGAAATTTATGGCCTCTGAGGCTGCAAAGAGGACTTCCTCTTTTTAAGAAGGGAAATGCTTAAAATGAACATAAGAACGGCTCAGAAAGCTTCTTGGATATCAAATGGCTCCATAAGGGGGGAAAAAAGTCAATGATATGAGTAAATGAATCAAAACCATATGGGTCAAATTTTCCCTAAAATACGCAGTTTGAAAAATTAAGGAGGAAAAGTACTTGGCAAAATGTGTTTTAGGTTTTACCAAACCCAAAACATTTGAAGAATCATTTGCAATGGTTGGTGAACCCTAAATGCAGCCTAGTGGCCCATTTTTGTATGCTACATAACAATTTTTAAAAAGCTTCCCTGTAACCCACTGATACTGTATGTCACTCAAGAAATCGTTAGAAGCTGTCACCAAACACTGTGGAGTTTGTAGAAGTGGGGTGGGGGTCAAGCATGAAACAATAAAAGGTTGTTAATGTAATAGGTTTTGTTTCTCCGGTTTGGCTGTGTGTGTTTTGGAGGTGGGGGGGCGGTGAGGGTAGTGTTTCTCACAAAGGAAGTTAATTAGAAGAGCATGTTAATTAGTCTCGTGTCTTGCGCATGTGGTAGTATTTCCTTGGCCCTCCCTAGTCCAAGTCAACATTCCTTTTTCTCTCCTGCACGTGCAGGAAGGTGCTGGTAACATTCCATCTGGGTGTAGAGGGGAAATACTTTGTCTCTGTTTCCCTGTGTTCTTTCTCTAGTGTCTCACACCAAGAGAACACAACCTTTCAAAAGAATGCAGGTACCGCGGGGAAATTCCTCTCTAGAGTGAATTGAATGGTTTTCTTCTCAGAAGGTGTTTTGTCCTTCGTTATATAAGCCCCCATCTCCTAAAAGGGTTATGTAGTTCAAACAAAATACAATTCAGAGACAGCAGAAAGTGTTGAGGTCATTAGCCTCTCCTCTCCCTCACCCATCACTGAGAACCTCGCCTCAAGTTCCCGGACAGATCCAGTCTTTGAGGCAATGGGAGGCCAAACACTCCCATTCATAGCCTTTCAGCCATGCCTACGGGAACATCAGGGTGAGCATCAGTGCCAGGGCGGGCCCGTGGAAAACGTTCTGGGATGTTGTGCTTCCTCAGCAAGTGGAGTGTGCAGTTTCCGTTTATAGAAGAATTAGTAACACGGGGAAGAGAGATGGGTTTGGCTCTTAACTCTGGTGATAACTCCCCTGTCATTTCTGTGATTGTGTGCATTGGCCTCAGTTTTTCCATAAGATAAGTGGGACTGTTCCCAGATATAGTTACTGATTCCCTCAGAACAAGATAAACTTGCCAGCAATTCAGTGATGCACAGACCCTTTCAGAACTTGAGGAAAGATATGAACAAAGTTTCTAAGAATTTTGGTCAATATTCTGAGGTTTATAATGTCCTAAGTGCATGTCAGTCCATTGCTGCTACAACATCAGCATCTGGGCAGGTGTGGCCTTCTGAGTCCCTGCTTCACAAACCCACCCCTCTCGAAGCTGAGACCTTCCCTGAGTGAAGGACTGAGGGCATCCAACAAACACTTGGATAATGACTTTGATTCCAAGCTTTAGAAGAATCTTTGCTTGAGGGGACAGATAGATTAGAAACAACCCCTCCCACGCAAAAAAGCAACTACAGTCAACACATACAGAGAAACAAGGTATCTATTAATCCCTTGACAAGAAACGAAAAAGCCCATCAAACAAGTTTCACACCTTCTAACTCATGATTTTCAAGTTTGAATGGCAAATGACCCATCAATTTCAATGACACTAGGAAAAAAGTCAAATAAAAGGCACATGTATTTTAACAGATCAAATATCCTACAATGAATTGATCATAATGACTCAAATAACTTTAGCTCCAATTCCATTTAAATTCATAAGTAGGGAAAGGTCTATAAAGAAATGCAAAGCTAGAGAAAAGACAAGATACAAAGTTATATACACCACTATCTCAGGCATAATTTTTTAAGAGCATAAGACCCAAAAGGAAGAGCTAGAAGGCAATAGGCAAAAATATTAGCAGTGGTTGCCCAGGGTAAATGTTTTCTACTCTAAAGAAACTTGGGGGAAAAAAAGATTTGCATTTTCTACAATAAGCATACTGAATTATTAGTGGAAGTTCAAAGATTGATAGAAAAAAATGTGTAAAGCAAAAATAAAAAGCAAGGAGTGTATTAGCACAAAGAGTGTAAATTAACTTGAACCCCAAAAAGTTTAGAAAGCTAGTTTCTACTAAACGATTTTAAAATATGACTGAAGACCCCTGCCTTTATTTTTCATAAAACCTGTTTCCTCTCCATTCAACCATGAATGGACTAAAATGGACAAGATCTAGACCAGAAGTCAAGAATCCCAGGTTCTAGTCCCAATTCTCTCACTATCAGCCCTGTGGCCTTCAGTGACCATGAGCTCTCTGAACCTCCAGTGGATATGTCTGCATCTTAGATGTCCAGATAGAGGAAGAGGAAGTGGAAGAGTGAAAGGAAAAGAAGAAAGCTATTAATAAGATTAGTTTTATTTTAATATTATATGGTCTAATATATTAATAAGCTCTTCTATAAAATAAGCAATAAGACTAAAGGGTCACCACCCTTTCTCTACTTTAGCTTACAGGTAAACCAGGCTGTTTGACGTGGGCTTTTGTCTTCAAATTTTCTTCATAATATTTTTAATAAAGCCAGATAACCACAAACAAGAATACCTCTCCCTTGCTTGAATAGAGGTATTCCTGAGGAGTGATAAATCCCAAAAGCTGTAAAAATATGAGTTCTAATGCCCAAGTTTTCTAGTCCCTCATTTTGCAAAGATGTTTGATGAGATGTTGACTTTCATTCTTCAGTTTTGTGTGAGGAAATAAGAAGCTTCATATTACTTTCCTAATTCTTTGGGGATTCTCTCAGAACTAAGACAACATGCATTCACATTGGTGGTTTGAGACAGAAATGTATGGCAGAAATGCAAAATATCCTGAGTATTTGCAATGTTTTAAGGAAGGGATTAACATAATATATAGGAGCATAGTAAAGAAATACAGGAAAAATTGCCTGTGGAATTTTCCACTGCTTGATATTGGAACGATTCCCACCCTACTGCCAAGTCCGGAATCATAGCCAGGCTTCTTGAAAATCAAGGATTAACAGTTTCAAGGTCAAGTGCTAATAATTCCACTTTTGTAATGCTTATATAATGCAATAAAATACCCTTCTTAGAAAATGCAAGGTGACACACTTGTTAAAAGCTAGCAGTTTCACGGATAGAATAGAGATTTCTGTCCTTGTATTTACTATGGTTGAACACTAAAAAATACTGAGACAATCCTGGGTCTCACCTTCCAGAAGTAGTTAGGCTTAAAGTTTATTTTTATTAAAACTTTCAATCAAATCACATTCATAAAAAGCTTTTCCATGGCCCAAAACCACTTATGTTAAAACTGCAGAGATAACTCTGACATTACTTCTAAACTGTGGAAGATGTTTACATGCTATAAATTTGAGCATTTAATGATGCATCTATAAGTCCAAGATGTTCATGCAGAATCACATTTATAAATGCCAGCACTTGGAAATTAAATGCACTAAAGTTCAGTAGGAAGCACATTTATTGTTTTCATGTTGTTATTTTCAGCTGAGGTTTAAATCCACCTCTTTCTTCTTCTTTTTTTCTTTTTTTTTTATCCCAGAATGTGCTATAGGAATCTATGAAACTTAATTACATTTACTGTTACAAAAAAGGATTTATGAACTTTTGCCTTTAGGCAGAAATGTTTATTTCATTGCCTTTACTATTCATTCTTTTCAACTCCAACGGCTTTGAACTTTTTAGCTGCTCAGAGTTATCACTGTTGTGCAGAGCCCAGGAACTCCACTCCCAAGACGCAAACCACAAGTTGAAGAGAACGAAGAAGGCAAAGATATATGAGTCGTTATTTTGGCCACCCTTTGTGCCATTAAAATCTCATTTTCTGCCTATTAGAATGCCCTCTTGGTGCTTAGGCAGCGGTGATAGTCACTGATTAGTGTGTAATTGACTATAATTGTCTTTTCACTTTTCATTTGTGTCATTCTGAGCTTTTCTCTGTTTTTCTAACCACCAAGAGGAAAAAGGCGGTTAAGGAAAGATAAAGCTGTTAAAACTCTCACTCTCAGCCCCGAAGAGATTCTCGATCGCAATTATAGATTGCCACCCCTTTGTGACATTTCTCCAAGTTTAGTGGGCAGCTCTCCTCACCACCTGGGCCAAGAGCTCTCTAATAAAATCAAGCGATCTGTATTTAAACAACTGCTAATAATGTCAACCCCAGACAGATGCCACATGTAGGAAATTTAACCAACCCTCTGACATGCAATTATAAGGCAATTTATTAATATGATCTCTCAAGAAAAGCTCATAGTCCAATGCAAATTAGAAAAACAATTACAATATTCAAATATCTCTATATTCCCAAGGAGCAGTAATTCTCCTAATTCAGGCATTTATGACTCATTTACACCAGAGTTCTGTAGTCATCAGCTGGGTCTCTCCTCGCACAACTTGTTTGCTTCCTCCCAATTGTTTCATAAAATCTGGTGCTTTATTAGTTGCTTTGGTTCACAACTCTCTCAGCTGATCAAATACCATGTTTTTAAGTGTGTGTGAGTGTCTTACCCAAAGACCAGAACTAGGAGTAGAAACGACAAACACCTTGACAACTACGTCTAAACGGAAATCTCCCTGATTCCATTAGGAATCACTTGAATTTTAAGTTTAAGCTGCAACTTTTGATACAGCCCCATAGGAAGGCTGGAGAGAAAGGAAGCTAGGAAACTGAAATCATGTGGCTCATATAAGGAATACATTATGGTTTAAATTTGGCAATTCATTATACCGCTGCCTGGGGGAATTGGCTGTTTGGTTCTGGTATACAGCAAATCATCTGTCTGGAAACACGGGACTGACCTGAGGTGAAAGGCCATTGCCAATGGCGGGGTTCATGGGGTTGGAGGGTCCGGACGGAGGCACAAAGCTGTCTGTGTAGCTGGAAAATCCATGCCTGGTGCTGGGGAGACAGTAGGCAGAGCTGCTGTCCGGGTTCGAAGGAAGAGTGCTTTGGTGTACGGTGCTCGGGGGGAGCGGCTGAGGTCTGTGCACGGTGCTGCTGGGGTCTGACACGGCTGCAATGAAGAAGATGGTCAGCCACCAAGTTCCCTTGTAGGAAGTGCAGTGCCAAAGCTCACAGGCACCACGCCATCAGGCCACATGTTCACTTCCAACTGCATTTCGATTTTTTTATTCTTTAAATGTACCTTTGTTGTTGAAAGTATTACAGATGTCCCCTTTTTTTCCCATTGACCCCCTCCACTCCGCACCCACCCATCCCATTTCTTAACATGGGAATACCTCCGCACATATGTGCAAGTACATAACTGATTTATATACTTTCATGGCAAACTCACCCAGAATAGGAATTCAGAAACCACATTAACAAGGCTAGCAAACCTATGTGGGTAGCGAATGTTATTAATCAACATAAGAATTAACCGATGTAAGAGTTGCAAGTCTCAAATTTCTTTAGCAAATATACTTTCAAAGCATCTCAGTATTAGTGCAATAGTATAGTTTCGACCGCCTAGAATGCTATCTTTCATAATCCAAAATAACTTCGTCTTATTTATCCCATTCACCTCTATGTGCCAACAAACAGTGCCTTTATCAAAGTTTACCTTCCCTCAATGACCCCTGTACTTGGTACCCATCTTGGAACTTCAGTGAATTTCACACTGGAGTACAATTGTAGAGGTAAAATTTGTAACAAAAGAAAAGCAAATCGCATTTTTTTTAAAGAAAAGTTGTTTGGTTTCATTGTTTTGTTTTGTTTTCAAATACTGAAATGGGATAACATTACAACACAATTTATCTAGAGAGATTCAGATATGTCCCAAAACAAACTGTGTTTCTGAAATGTGACTGGGACATTCAGGACAACCTGATGTAATGTCATTAACATGCAAACGGTAACAGTGTCACCAAGGCTTCCTCCGAATCGGCAGCAGGGAGAGCTATCAGGAGGTACATTCTACCGTCTTGACTCCTCCATACCTTGTGGAATAGCAGTGGGCTGGTACGAGGTCTCCGACAGCTGGTATGTTGGCAAGGTGGGCATGGCGGTGGGAGGGAATCCCCCCGGAATGAGATGGTTGAAAGCCATCAGTTGATTGGCCCCAGCTTGCTTCCTCCATCTTGCACGGCGGTTGCTAAACCAGACCTATGGATTTAATTTAAAATTTGAGGGCTTCGCTGATGAAATAAGACTACATTCTTAATGAATTTTTCATGCTAAAACAGATTAAAGGCCCCTTACTGACAGGGCAAAAAGAAGTAAGAGCTCTCCACCCTCTGGGTTGTGTTGTCAGGGGAGAACGGAGAGTTGAATGTCAGGGGTCACAGAGGGGCTTCGAGGGCATTCCGTGGTCTTGCAGAGCCCCCAAAATCCAGTGATGAGCATGGGTAGGAATGGCTGAGCTGGAGTCAGAACAACAGAAACCCCCCCACTGTCACCCCCAATACCCTCCCATCTTCATGGATTCTAGGGAGGATCCATGAGCCTCTGACTCCCGCACTACACATGTCCTAATTTGGACCTGCCTATTACACTAACCCTTGTGTTTTATATTCTTATCAGTCTGTCTCTGTATTTCTATGTTCATTATGGCCATAGCTCCTGGACAGTCATAAATTGACCAAGGGAATTAATGGAGCCATCTTACCATCCCTTTCAATGTGTGAGACATTGTCCTGATCTTAGAGGAAATAAATGCTGAAGTGTTAAGTATTTCAAGAAATGAGAGCATGTTATCTAAGGAGATCCATTAAATAGTACTTACTTTATTATTTCTTTCAACAACAGCTTTAAGCACCTATAATACTCTATGCCAGGCACTATGCTAACCAGGTACATTCAGAAAAACTTGATGTAATAAAACAAAATGCCTTTGAGAAAATTAACAGCCAAGTACTTTGTATGAGCAGCTAGAGAGAAATGGCAATAATAGGAGGAAGAAATGTAACTGAACATCTAAAATATTGAGAAATTATTAATGGGCCCCTGGATCTTGCCCAACTCTTACACCTGCAGAGTTCAAATGTAGAACTTTAATTTTTCCAAGTGTACATGTGATGCTGCCCCCAAAATGAGAGAGGATTTCTAGCAATCAAATATTTGCTAATTCCTATATCAAATATTCATTGAAAACTTAATATGGAGAAAGCACTGTGCCTGGGGTCAGAGGGATGGAGGGGTGAATGAGATGATAGAAAAAGATAGGATCCCTGCACTCTAGTAGCTTATCGGGTTGTGCTTATGGAATTGGGGGTCATCAAGGAAACCAAAATAATTGCTCACTAGAGCTAGAAGCTCCAAATACAGAGACTCTGGAAAATTAGAGTGGAGACAGAGTTTCAATTCAGTTTAAAATCTTGGGTATGATTTCAACAGGAGGTGACTCCAAACGGAGGTGATAATACAGGAGACAGCACGTCTAAGAAAAGATAAGACCTGATTTCCTTACAGCTTGTCATTTTTTTAAGTTGTAAACTTTTTTAAAGAGTGGCGGGTGGAATTTCTCCTTTCTAGAGCAAGAAAGCCCAATTTAACAAATATTTTGCCAAGGCATCTGCTTAAACTTTTGATCCTTACCCAAGCTCTGAAAAAAAAAAGTTTAGTCTCCTCTGGGCATGTTGCAAGATACTGTTAAGGAGAGCTGTGTGACCGTCCTCAAAACACCAATATTTAATACTCCTTAAGTTTCCAACCAAAAAAGAAGGTAAGTCAATATTTCCCCTTGTTGATACATAATTGAATTAAACCTGGGATAACAGGACCATGAACGGCACTCAATTTGAGGTCTGCGTCAATTGTGTGTTCTCACTGCAAATCTGTTGCTGTGACCCCCAGAGGCATCAGAGTAAGAAAACTGTTTTCAAAGAAGTGTTTGGGACAAGCTGTGTTAGCCTGAGGAGGCTGAGGGTAAGAAATGAGGGGCATAGTCATGCCTGAGTGCACTGTACTATACCATGCACCATGGTTTTATTTTATATTGTAAACCTTTGAGATTAACAAGTCCACCTGACTCAGGTGATGTGGTCCCCCCTCCCCCCCACCCACACAGACACACACCTATCTAGACAAACCTACATCTGATGTGACTTCATTTATTCAGACATACTAGTCTCAATTGTGCTGTTGAAATATTTCATAAAGAACTCAGAAGCCTGCACTTCCGTCATTATCAGAGCAATGTTGCCAATTTCTCTATGCCAACTTCTTTCTGTGACCTTTAGATAAGTAAACCAAGTGTGATTTATGCAGTGGATGGTTATACCTGATCACTCCAGCAATTTACCCTACTTTTAATTTATGCTTATTCTAACTCCTCCTTAACCCAATTTTTAATAAAAAAAGTCTTTCCTCAAATAATAAATTAGAAGAAACACCATAATTTCCACAAATACATTCAAAGATCGAATCCAAAAGAATAGGGATTTAAGGTCTCTGGGATCTTGTTTTCATTTGTTCAAAATGATACAAAAAATATTGAAGACATTGAATAAACCCACTAAGAGCTGGATTTTTAAATTCTTATATTTACAGTACAATAAAAGATTAAGAGAAATCATTGGGAAGAAAATCTTTACTGAAAAGTGAACCTTCAACAGGAGGCTCAAGAATTTCCTAAGGGGAAGAATTTAAATGTACTTAAATTTAAATAAATCCAGAAGGCTAGTCCTGAATGAAGCAGGGCTTACTGAGGGCTGGCCTAACTCTGGCCATTCAACCAAATTTGTCATCATCTTGCCATTGCTAGCCTTCTGCCTCTCCTAGAACCAGCTGTCTGCCAAAAGAATCATCAAAGGAAAAATATACTGAAGTTGCAAGTTGGGAAGTGGTCTTTACCTTCTTTATACTTTGAAACTCATAGAAGACATATATTTTATTTTTAACAGAAAGAAAAAGTTGCCCTTGAAATAACCCTCATTTTACATACCCAAACCAGCCAAGCACAATTATCCTGGGGAACTGTTATCACCCCATCTTTAACTGAAAGACATCCCCTTGAAGTTTTTACTTCATTTGATGACCTGAAGCTTGGTTCATTTTCATCTGGCCCCTGGATCTCTCCCTACTTGTCTGTCCCTCTACAGAGCCCTTCCACAAAGCTATATGCATGCCTTTTGGAAATCATCTTTATATCCATGTCTGAAGTAATACAAGGTCCAATGATTTTTTGAAGCAAAATTTAAATTAACCAAAAGGTCCCCATAACATCATGGTAACTGTGGGGGTGGGGGGTAATGAATTACAAAAGAAGAAAAAGATTTTCAAAAATTTTTCTCTTGATGAGTAATATAAGTAACCAATTTGTTCAGACCCTCAACAATATAAGTTGGGGAAAACTTAGTACTTTAAAAGCTATAGTAATACTTTTTATTCACATGGGTGCAACACAAGCCATGCAAAAGTTGACTTGCAGCTGCCTGAATTACTACCTCTGTGACCTTGAACAATTTGTTTAATATCTATGAGACTCTTTTCTAATCTGCTAAATGGGAGAAATAAAAAAAACTATTTTATAAGACTACTGTGATAGAGGAAACATTGCCATCAAAGACCTTAAAAGAATACCTAAGAGATATTAAGTGTTCAACAAATGTTAGCTAATAAGTAAAAATGTCTCATTGCCACCTCTAAGAAACCCAAGAATTAAAGACTTGCTCTGTTTCCTTAACTCCGTGGTCTACAGCCAAAGCTTTTTATGCTCATGAGCAAACAGAAAAGTGCCCAAATAACACCTCAAATCACTGAAAGCCAGTTAGGCTTGAATGGAGATGTAGGTCAAATTTGTTTCCAAGTTTCATGGATTAGTGCTAATTGTCCCAGGGTGTAAGCCTAATTTTGCCCATCCATAAATTACTCCTTCACATTTTTGGTGTGGACCTCAAAGGCAATCTAACTTACATTATTCCAGATGGATTATTTCACATGCAATTTGGAAAAATGTGGAAAGAAAAGAATGCAATATGTAATCCTTAGAAAGAGAATTCATAACAAGATTATAAAAAACTTGATTAAACATTGAATTTGGTGATGTCTAATGCTACAATGCCAAATATAGGACTTTCCAAGTAGGTGAATTCAGGACAAACTGCTCATTCCCCGGACCTTCTCATTCACTCCACCCCCTCTCCCTTTTGAGACCACACCCTCTCCGACCACTTTGACCACTGTATGGCCTGTGGGTTGGGAAGAGGATGAGCAAGAGGCTGAGGGAGGAACCCCATGCTCCATGAGTGTCCAGAGGACCACAGACACACAGGAAAGCATACTAAACTGCATCTTTATAATTCCAAGAGTGAGCTCCTACAGCAAATTGCAGGATGACCATATTTTTGCTTCATTATGGAGTTTAGAGTCAACTATTCCATACGTATCTTAACTTCTTAACTACACGGATCTGTCAGATGGTGTTAAATCACCTTTGGGCTTTCTTGAGAATCCCAAATTACTGATGCTAGCAGGGTCCTGAGAGATCATGCATCCTAATAGTTCTTAATTGAGGAATGGAACAGTAGGAGGTGGTATTTGAGAATATGATAAAAGCCAGAAGCCCTCTCCCTAGTTAATGCCCTCTACACATACAGAGAGAGAGAGAGAGAGAGAGAGAGAGAGAGAGAGAGAGAGAGAGAGAAAGAGAGACAAAGAGAAGCAAAGGCACAACATTTTGTGTACAAATCTCAAGTCTCCAAAAATCATCCAAGATTTTCCTGGTTGTCCATAGACCCAGACTAAGACTATCTCATCTAACCTACTCCAAATTTCAAAACTTAAAAAAAAAAAAACTGAGGCACACCTGGATTATAGCAGAATTAAGTGACTTGCTCAACAAAACGCATTTGACAAGCGGAGACCAAAACCCACATCTTCTGACTCCTTGTTAAGTGCTATTTCTACAAGCAGCTTCCTTTCCTGTCTGCTATTATCTTGGTGGTAAAGGATGATGCCTGCCTGCTTCATGGAGTTCTCAGATGAAATATTTACTAAAACTTTTGCACATCATAAATATTTGCACAACATACTCCCCCACAAAACGTTAATGCTTTCTATTATTTCCAAACTAACAGCTACCCAGGAAGTAAATTAGGCAAATTAGTTTTTGGTGTACAATTCTTAGATTGTGTACTCAGACTTGACTATGATAAATACAATGTAGCTATTGTCCAAACAAATTTTTATGAAATACTGACAAAGGCTTAAGTTAGAAATACTTTTCCTCAGGAAAATAAATGGAATAGGAAGTGTTCGGGTTTTAGGTTTTTTATTGTGTGTGGTTTTTTGGTGTGTTTTTTTGGGGGGTGGGGGGGTTGGTTTGGTGTTTGGTTTTCCCAGGTGCCCCAAATTAAACTAACTCACTTTCTGGCTATCACTCAAACTGAGTTGACTTTGCTACTGCTTTCCCAGATCCTTCTAAAAACTACAGGATTTTGTTCTGGCATTTTAATCAGTGATTAACTACTCCCTTCTTTTTCCTGCTGGGTTAAGTAAGATCCATATGCCGGGTGTTGTAGGGAATTTGTTAGGCTGTAGATCATAGCTGTGGTGCAGGACGGGATGTGTCTCAAGGGAACTAATGAAGCCATAAGGAATGTAAAGAGTCACCGGGTTAAAGCCACATTAGGACAGCTGTTAAGTTAATGAGGGCCCTGCTTCGGAGAAGAGGTCACTGTATAGAAAAATATGAACCACTCTTTATTGGTTTGATCCCATGTCCTCTGGAAGTTAATGGGCCATTCTTATTCTCTGACACTCACTGAGCCAGATGCGAACACCAGGCTCTGTCCAAGCCGCATGGGCTTGAGATTGATTCTGTCCCCCATCCTCGTCTTTGGCAAAGGCAAGAAAGAAATAGAGCAACGCTGAATGCTCTTTTCAGTTTTTCATCACTCTCTTTGTTTGATTTCTTTAAAAATCAATATTTATTGTTTGAGTCTGAGTTATCTTAAGGACAGACCCAGCATGTGGGCTTGGCCAGCCATGGAGTATAGGGACCAAATCCTGGAATACAGTGGGCATTCAATAAAGGTTGCTAAAAGAACAGAGACTGAATGAACTGACCTTAACATTTAAACTGGGTAATCCCAGAAATGGGTAATTCTAGGAGTAACTATTTAATCCTAGAACTAAAAGCAAAACATATTTGATATATACAGTAATTGTGGCATTAGTACACGTAATATTAGGTATACTGTATATTATTATATTATGATGTAATACTTATGTATAGCTATTATCATGATGTGTGGTCAATTCTGGAAAGCAATTCTGTATCCCAATGTAACAGGTAGAGGGATTGAATAGTACCAACTGGAATCTACACTATACACCTGGTGTATCTGTGACTCTTACCTTCACTCCCCCCACCTCCACTATCACAATCAGTTCCCTACATTTCAGTTCTAAGTACCTTTCATCACCATCCTTTCCTTTCCATTCACACTGCCACTGATGGTTTCATACCCACAGACTCCCCAGCTATCACATTAAGTGTGAGTGTCCTAGCCTGAAACCCAGGCCTTCCATAAGATGTCCTCAGAATAGATTTCCAGCAATATTCCTTCCTGCCACTGACCACTCCTTACCCTCCAATCAAAATGAACTATTCTCTGTTCCCTCAACATGAGTGAAAATGAAAGGTGGCCTGATATGTAACTCATGTGCTTCCAACTCTCTGTTCCTTTTGCTCATATTACTCCCTCTTACTAGTATGTTCTCCCCACCTGCCCTGTCCAATGAATAACTATCGCCTCAAAAGTCCATCTTAAATCTCCCTTCTCCATGAGCCTCTCTTGTTTACTCCAACAAGATCTCATCCTTTCCTCTTCTCAGCTCCTCCCACTGCATTTTGTCTCTTTCTTATGGTACTAATTGCATCTGCTTTACTTTTAAAATTATTTGTATGTTTACTTTATTACCCATATTAGGTTGTAGCTCCTTTAAAGACTTGTCTTAATTCACCTCAGCATTCCTCGACTTTTTTAGCACAATGATGACCATATGAAAAGTCAAACTGAATAAGACAATCCCTCTGACTGGGCTCTGAGCCTAGAAGAGGTTACTGCTGTAAAATTCTGTAACAGCAGAGGGAATGAGCTACATGTGAGGAAGTGTGGATCACTCGAGACCATATCAGCTGACTAGTTCACTGCTGAGTTCCCAGACTCACTTTGACTATGAAAGTTAAGTATCTGGGAATAACACAACATTTCCAAATAAGGTAACTTAACTCCTGGGATAGTAAAGAGTTCCAGGATACCCTAAGACATTTGTAATCTTTCAAATGGTGCTTTACTACCATGAGGGGAAAGTTCATCATTAATGAGTGATGAAAACATTATTCGATCACTCAATAGAAACGTAATACACCAAAGAAGCCTTCTCCAGAGGGTTCAGAGTATAGCTGACTCTTGAACAACACAGATTTGAACTGCACGTGTCCATTTAGAGGCAGATTTCTTTCCGTAAATGCCTGTAGTGTTTTCGATCCGCAGTTGGGAGTCCTCAGATGTGGAGGACTTGAATATCCTTGGATTGTGGTATCTGTGGAGTGTTTTGGAACCAATGCTCCATGGATATTGAGGGACAACTAATTTTTTCAGGAGTCAAGAGTTATATACAGATTTTCGACTACTCATGGGTCAGCGTCACTAACTCCCAAATACCTATCACTTACAAGTGTATAACTTGGGGATAATAATAGTACCAATCTAGGGTTATAATGGTGAGTGAGTGGGGTAATTCATGTAAAACACTTAGGACAGCACTTACACAGAAAAAGAAAACACTCAAATTGTTTTGCTATTATCTGTGTACCACCCCAAAAATCCAGATAATGACTGGTACATAATTAGGATTCCTGAAATGATGTCTGAAAACATGAACTGACATACTTCTGTGTGTTTTAGCTGATACAATCATACTCTCATAGTAATAATAACCAAATTCTGAAAGAAAAAATGCACATTTTCATAAATACCAAAAAAACTAAGAATTCAAAGAAAGCAAATTCAATAGATCAGATTTAAAAATGTGATCTATAAAATAATTGTATCAAACAATACAACAGAAAAGAAGTCACGTGTATCCATCACAAATTTAGTTGGACTCACCTACCTATTAAGAAATTTTTTCCTAAAATCCTGCTAAATAGACATATCTAAAACAAAAGAGATGGGAGGGGAGGAGGGTGAATCAGGCAAATTCAAATAAAAAGAAAAAAAGAGGTCATGATGCTGTTATCGTGATAAGGCAAACTATAAAGAAAAGGCATTAGAGAGAAAGGAGGGAACTTGATAGTGCTCTAGGCTACAATTCACAAACTGCTTTTGCTAATGTATCTATTTTCCTGATTTAAAATCTGCTTTAAAAGGAGAAAAGACCCTTTTTTGTTTCCTGCCTGGATTGAGACAGGACAAGGGCATGGCGAAGGCAGTACCTGCACTCGGGCCTCGGTGAGCTTTGCCCTCTGTGCCAGCTCCTCCCGGGTGTAAATATCAGGGTAGTGGGTTCTCTCAAAGGCACGCTCCAATTCTTCCAGCTGTTCCGCTGTGAAGGTGGTTCGGCTCCTGCGCTGTTTCCTCTTTAGTGGCAAATCGGGTTCAGAGTCAATGTCTGAGCCTTCATCCGACTGGGGTGCTGAGGCTAAGAAAGAGCATAGGAGGGGTAAAAAATGATAAAATGTGAATCATAATTCAAGTCTGAACAAGCCATAATGATTCAGATCCTAGTCTAAGGTATATTCCCAATGTCGTTCATGGACACCAAGCCCCTCCTTGAGGTATTATATTATTAAATGGTATTTAATCTCTTCGGCTACCCTCTCTTCAAGCCCCCCAGGTAGAAATAATGGCAATCTGCTTCTGTCATTCAAGGTTCATAATGAGCTCTTAGAAAACAGGGACAGTACTTACTCCATTTTTTATGACCTTCATCCTTAGCCTTTAATGGGTCACTTAATTTATGTCTAATGAATGAGTCACATTTAATTTGGTTCCTGATAAACTTTTCAGCAATATTTGCAACAGGGAATCTGTTATTTTAAGTAAATAATCAACTTAGTATCTAAAAAGGCAATCATAGTAAACTATTGCAGGATTCCTATAAATGTACAGGCTCCACCTCTCCTCTAAGAAAAATCACGTTTAAATATCTCATTGCCACTGGGACATGCTTTAAGGAGAATTTAGAAACTGTGAATACAAATCTGAAGAATAAATTCAGGAAGAAGCAGGCATCATCTAGTAAACTGTCCCTTAACTGAAGCTCAGAGTCTGGGCCTCTGAATGGTGGGTGGCTGCCCAGGACTGCTGCCTCATTTGAGGAACTCAGTGCAGAATGAAAATGCGGGACCCAGTGTTCAAGAGAGCAACAACAGAGCATAAAACCAAACACAGGGTCCTTCTGAGGGCAGGGCCTAGGGCAACTGCACAGGTCAATTCCTAAAGCCAGCCCTGCTATGGCCTCCTCCCCACCAAAGCTTGAATTTGTCTGGGAAGGAGACCTTCCAAATTTGTGTGGGGGTTCTAGAAAAGGGGAGAAGGTGCTGGGAAATTAGATAGGAATTCGAGTTAATGATACAACGAGGTGTCTGTGAGCTGTGACAGAGCACCTGTTGGCCTATGAAGCTTCTGAGGTTTGAGGTTGCTCCAGACACAAGGCTCTGGGCAGGAGAGCAGCCCTGACCCAGAGGCCCTGGACTTCGGGCAATGGCAGAGGGCTGTCAGAAGGCTATCAGGCAATAGACACTAAGTATAGTACGGGAACCAGAGCATCCTTGCTCCAGAGCACATCCAAATGTGCTCTGAAAACTCCCCGAATAACTGGGGGTTCCTCCGGGGAAGGGATTGATGTGTGCTCTCAGCAAATGAGGAAGGAAAGCCAGAAAGTTGTAGATAATTAATGTCAATGTCAAAGTAAGGCATTTGCACCCTCAGTCAGGTAGGACCTGGGGAAATGTAGGTGGTGTTAGAAGCAATGTGAAATGCAATGTCTCCTATGTCCTTCTCTTTTGTCTTCAGCTCAGACTTAGCTCTGTCCTATGGAAATCTAAACTTTCATTCTACTTTAGGATAAATTGTATCCTGCTCAAAAAGGTGCATGTCCAAAATAACCCATAAATATAATTTTAAGTTTTCTAATAATTTAATACTTTTTCATTTTATTCCTATTCAAACACTGTGAAATTAAGAGAGTGAATTAATACACATAACAAATTTTAAAGAGTCAATGCTTGTGCATAAGAGCAAAATAGAACTATAATATACACAGCATCTACTGTGTGTTAGACATTGCACTTGGTTTTTCAGTTGTTATCTAATTTAATAGAAAATGGTCTAACTTCATATAAACTCATAATTTTAGGACATCTTAGGATTGATTTTTTGATATTTCAGTATTAACTTTAAAAAAGAAAACAGGTTTTCCTAAAATATGGGGATATTTTAAGAGTATTAACACGCAAAGAAATATGCCATGCATTGCATTATAAACTTCCAAATCTCCCAATACAACTTGCATGTGTATGTGTTTGATAAATATGAGCAAGTTAAAAGAGCGATAACTGGTGCCTAATTGTAGAGCAGTGGTTCTCAGACTTTCAGAGCATTGCAGTCATCTGAAGGACTGGTTAACACACAGATAGTTGTCCCCTTCCAGTTTCTGATCTGTAGGTCTGGGGTGGGCTCTGAGAATTTGCATTTCTAACATACTCCCAGGGGATTTATGCTAATTTTACTGATTTTAGATGACGTTTAGAGAACCACCTTTATAGAATATTCTAGATTAATCATTCTCTTCCCTCTCAAAATTCCCAAATACAGAAAATATTGCCTGCCACAATTTACAAAAACAAAAATCGCTTCCACATACATATGTTTAAATTATAAATAATATGCGCCCCCAAGAAACAAACTACTTATGTCCCTCAGAGGACAATAAATTTCCATAAAATGCTTTCCTTTTATGCTCTGGGTGAGGATGCCCTGACTTTCCTTTCCCATGTGAAAGCAGGTGAAAACTCAACAGCATTTAGTGATGGACCACAAGCTTCCTCCACCTGTGAGAACCTTACCTCTTTGCTTGTACTTTCTCTTACTGTGACCCCATTAGGATAATAGTATGTGGAAATTTTCGTGTTTCCTTTGGGAGTCTCTGGGGCTATTAAGTCCTCCCCAGTAAATATGATGTGCCATGCACTGTCAGGTCAATTAATCAAAATCGACTCTGGTTCCTGAAGAAAAAGGAGCTGCATAGTGCCAGCAAGAGCTCATTCTGAGGGTCAAGACCACTCTTCCACCTTCACAATCAACATCCCCCAGAACACAAACTCTGGAAGCTCGAGGCTGATCTCTGCCTTGTTCACTGCAAGAAGCCTGGGAACACAGTAGGTGCTCAATAAGTACAGATTGAGTAAATAAATGTGCCAGGGAAAAGTTAAGTTTTGAGCTAACACTGATTTCTCTGCTACCCTTATATTCTTAGATGGATATTCCGCTTATATGAGACTCCCAACATCTTTTTATATGAGCTTTGAGGAGTCTGTGAATCCTCTAAAATTATTTGGAAATCCTCATAAGTATTTGCATAGCTACATTTTTCTGGAGAATTAGTATCTTTAAAAAAAAAAAGGATTGTGATTTAAAAGACGAAGAACCACCAACAGCGGGTGATTAAAATGATTCAGACTAAGAGTTTAATAGGACAGCCTACACCACCAAAAATAAAATTTTTTTTAATGAGTTAACTAATCACTCCTTTTCTTTCTAGGCTGAATTTAACTAGGAAAGCCCCCACACAGCATCAATTCAAAAAATATGGTGGAAATAATTTTCCCGATTTTTCTGGTGGAAATTATCTGAACCAACTGGTCATTTTTGGCAATATGAAGCCACAATTTTGCAAGTTAATTCTAACTTTTCCCTATCGGTAAACCCCAAAAGGATGTGGGCTTTAAAATATGTTAAGTCAGCAAACCAAGATTAATCTACCAGCTAAGAAATACTAGCTATTTCTAAAGATGGAAATAATACAATTCCTTACATTACTCAATAAAAGTAAAATTCCTTATTTACACAGAACAAGATCCATAATACCCTGAATTTGAGTCATTCAGTTTTGACCAAGAACAAACTTAAAACTTAAATCCCATTTAATAGCACAAAAGAAATCATTCCGTTGAAGTTCTTCTATTTTACATATTCAATTTTACTCAATACTAGAAAAATTAGAAACTAGATACAAAGCAACTTATCTTGCTAAATATTGACCAAAGATAGCTCAACAGAAAGAAATTATATATTTTTTTTCTGTACAGAATATCTAATGCTATGACTTGGAAACTGCAAGCAGTGTTATCAAGACAGTTATCTGAGTAAGTAATAAAGTGATAAGATCTGGCAACTAGATTAAATATAATCTCTTCAGTAATATAATCTCTTTGAGACTCTTTCTACTATCCATCCTTAATATTTAGGGGAGATTTTTCATTACATTTACGTTGCTTAATCATATTCTACACATGCCCTCACATATTTGCTCTATTATTCATTAAGTAGAAATATTAGTCCCCCAATTTCAAATTCCAGAGTAGTTCTCATTAGAAAATCCATATCAATATATAATATAAGGCCTTTTAAGTGGAAATTGTATTGCTTTAAATTGCAAACTGCAATCCATATTGTTATCAGACTTTGAATGTTTTGACTGTTACCAAAATCCCCTCATAATCCATTCTCTGATTTATACATTAATTTAACTCTGTCACCAGCGAACCTGAAGCAAACCATACCAAGGGGATGACGATTTCTCTCTCTTCCTCAGGTTAACTAAACAAGAACCCTGTGAAGTAAATGCTTACCCCATTGTACAGAAAAAGGAAACTGAGACTCAAAGAAGTTATTCAGGTCACACAGTAAGGGAAGTTAAGATTTAATCCAGGTCTTGGGGATTTCGTAGAACATACCCTCTTTTTCTCTTCTAACCTGGTGTGTCCTAAATAGGTGTGGATTTTCTGTAACACACATACACACACACACACACACACACACACACACACACACACAGTCCTTTTGAAGAGAAATACCAGAAACAAACCAAAACAGGAATTCCAATGTAAATCATTACTAGATGCCATTATTGTTCTAATTTGTCCCAAATTTCCAAAAATTTCCTAGAATCAAATAAAATTTATAGACATACAAGTTTGATCAGTATTATATACTAAATCAAGCAGTTCTTCTAATTGAATTCAACAAACATATGGAACTCCATATATCTAAGATATTCTTATGAAACAACAATAAAGTGCTAAGAGATAAATTCATTTGCCAAGATAATTAATGAATTTAAGAAATCAAGGTAGTCCATCTGATCATTAGCAGTCTCTAATAAGAATCAGTAAGTTCCTAAGATCCAGGGGCAATCTAGAACATACTATTGTTCACAAACAGTTGAATTGATCACTCATTTTGTACTTTATTAAAGTCTTCTCTCTCTCTCTCTCTCTCTCTCTCTCTCTCTCTCTCTCTCTCGGTATTAAAGACATTTTAGTGAAAGGATATCAAGAGTTGTAAAGAACCTCATACATGTTTTGAATAATATAACATTCTTACAGCAGTTTTAAGTTTAAAAAATTAGCAAAAAGT